ATGACATGATCAAATTAATAATATAATTTTATCTATTTAAAAAACAAGTTGCTATCATAACATACAATTAATTTTGTTGCCTAATAATTGACAAATACCGTGACGAAGTTATGAATTTTGTTAAGAATGTTTAAAGCTTTATTACTTATTTCTAAAAAAGAAGAAAGATTGATCTATACTCATAGTATTATATTCTATATGTATAATATAATTTTTGTGAAATCTTTGTTTTCGACAATTAGTGAAATGCTTGTTTGCCAAGAATCTAAATAGAGAACTCATTAAATTTAAATCGATTATAAATCAATCTCTCGTGGCACAAATAATTCTGTAATTTTATAAAATAAACATATCAAACTGATGAAATATTTATGTATTATTAATTGATTTTAAAATAATTATGGATCTTTCTCTAATACTATATCAGACGAAAGCAGAATGATGATGCAACAGTATACATGATATATGCCGCAAATTGCGAGGTGTTAGATGATAAAAACCTGAAGATTCTATGTAGATTTTTTACATTTTATTTTTATCGTATACTATTTCCTCCATTTATTTTTATTTGTTACTATTTAACCTGACACATTCATTAAAAAAATAATTATATATATATATATATACACCAAACTATCCCTATTAAATGATGTTTAGATTAGGTCTTGAAAAATGATTTGGAAAATAAGTATTTAATGGTTAGGGTCAAATATGAAAAAAATTATCTTTTTTTGATATGTCAAAAATGACAAATAAAAATAAAAATCAATTTTAGGAATAAGTGATAAGGAATTAATTTAATATAATAAAATTAAAGTATATAATAGTTAAATATAATATGATAAAAAGGGAAAGAACAAGGAATTATTTACGAAACGCATGTCATTCATTTATTGATTTATATAAGTGTGGAATGTGGATACGTTCTTATTCTTACTAGCTTACTTGAAAGATGAATAATTTATGGGTTAGCTATATATGTATATATCTTATTATTAGCTAGGTATGTTGGGATTTTATTCCGACTAATCATCGTGAATTATTGTGATCTCATATTAAGATGTGAAGAGGATAGAATGTGTGTGCAAATTTTATCAATAAGTAGGGAGATTATTTTTTATAGATCCTTGACACAAAAAATATATTTTAATAGATTAAAAATAAGTGACTTGGACAAAATAAAATTGTTAATAACCTCAGACCAATTAATCGAAGGCCCTTTCTCCTTTGTTTGAAGCCATATAAAACTTTTTTTCTTCGATCGGCAAACAAAGAGGAAATCTGCCACGTATAATTGAAATCCAATCCAGATACCATAGCCAACTAATTGGTGGAAAGGTTTTGATTTCAAAAATGAACTATTGTTTTGTTGTGTTTAAATTCCAAAAATTTGTATATGGTACAGTGTGATTGTTTTGTTAAATAATATAATATTTCACTAAGTAAACAACAAGTCGTTGTAGTATAGTGGTAAGTATTCCCGCCTGTCACGCGGGTGACCCGGGTTCGATCCCCGGCAGCGGCGTTAAATTTTTTTTCTCCTCTTTTTGAAGATTATCACAAACAAAATGCCCTACAAAAATCATACCATTGATAGCCACCCATCCCAGAAATGGCGATTCTCAGCTTCTGCTTCTGTTGTTCAAAACTCCCCTCAAATCCAAAACTTCACAATCTCCATCTTTCCCCACAGACTGATCAAGCTACATCACTGGTTTCTCTAAAATCAGCTGAATTTTCGAGAAATGGTTTCATCTCATTAAGCGAATCAATCTCAAGAGCAAGTTTTCTGGCCCTTCTCTCTGCTTCACTCTTCTTTGCTTCAGATCCTGCTTTAGCCTTTAAAGGTGGAGGTCCTTACGGTGCTGGAGTAACAAGAGGCCAAGATCTAACAGGGAAGGATTTTAGTGGTAAAACTTTAATCAAACAAGATTTTAAAACTTCAATACTCAGACAAGCTAATTTTAAAGGTGCGAAGTTACTCGGAGCTAGTTTCTTTGATGCCGATTTAACTGGTGCTGATCTATCTGATGCGGATCTTAGAGGTGCTGATTTCTCCTTAGCTAATGTGACTAAGGTGAATTTAAGCAATGCTAATTTGGAAGGAGCACTTACAACGGGGAATACATCTTTCAAGGGTTCCGTTATACAAGGGGCGGATTTCACCGATGTTCCTCTAAGAGAAGATCAACGGGAATACCTTTGCAAATTTGCTGATGGAGTGAATACAGTTACTGGTAATGCAACACGAGAGACATTGCTTTGCGAATAGCTTTGTGTAGTGTAAGCTTTGTACTCCTTATAGTTTTCCCTGTATATGAGTCTGGCTATTCAACCTGTTAATGAGGCTCCACATAAACATCAGCAGTTGGAACCCGTATTCGGTTTGATTATATTTGATCAAATTGCCATATAGCTTGTATTTGCATTATTATGGTTCACTTGCAAGGCACAAAGATTGATTTGGATGACTTGTCATGGTGGCTTGATATCTCTGACGTCTTTGATAGTTAAAGACATGTTAAAATGATGATTTGAAATCCTTTAACATTGCGACACTTATCCCAATGTAATACGATCTCTAATAATCCATTTAAGTTACTTTGTTGCTCAAACTAATGATTCAACTGCTTCCATTATGGTTAACCTTTGGAATCTTGAAGGGAAGTAGGTAATATCACTTCTCCACTTAAGCCCTGTTATTCCAAAAGGTTCAAGATTCCAAAGCTTAGCTATAAAGGAGGGAGTTGAACTAGCATTAGTTCGATCAACAAAGTACCTTATATTAATTAGAGATTGTATTTCACTGCGAGAAGTACCATCAATGTTGAAGGATTCCAAATCCAACAATTTAACAAGTTTGAACCTGTCAAAGATGAAGGAGATATCACGCTGCCATAACTAGCTATCCTAATCAATCTCATTGAATGATGAAGACTACATTTTGAGTGAGATGGCCGCCACACATCAATCTGATCCTGGTAAGAATGAAACAAAATAGAATTTGTTGATTGTTTGTGAATTATGCTTGTCCGATTCTTATTGCTGTGTGATCCAAAAAGTATTCCATGATCACGGGTTGATGTTGTGGTACAATCAATCCTCAACATTTCCTATTCAGAGGAATATTGGAGATCCCCACATGCCTCCATTATCATGCTTCCTAGGTCATTATCAATGGAACTGCCACCGAGCCATTATACTGGCAAAGTGTTGTTACCTTCTCACTGTCCTTCATTTTGCAAAGTCACAAGTTTTCAGTATATTGCCTCTGAAATGAAATGGGGTCTTCAGTTTTCGGTTTATCACATTTTACATGATTAAAAACTAGAAGAAAGATGATAATAAGTCCTGGCCTTCATTCCCTGCTAAAGAGTGGTGGTAGAAGTGCAAAATTGAGCTCAACCAGCATCCACGTATCAGCTTTAGATGACATAGTAGTATGAACTCGCTCTTTACCATGGCTCTCTATCTCGGCCTGCCCTTAAACTTCAACCAACCCACGTGCTGCAACAAGGCTCTGCATTGATGGTCCAACAGTATCTATGGATCTTGTGAACTTCAACACACTTCATCTTTCAGCATTCTTCTTTTCCTGTGTACTTGAGTTTCCCCACAAACAGGATAGTAGGCATAAAGGATAAAAGCAGCAATGGTAGTGATTAAAGGAGCTGTGTTTTGCCTGCCATATTAACACAAAGATCCTGCAAGCTGGGATTTTGCTAATTTGCAGTTGGATCAACCTTGGGTTGCATATTCTTGAATCTGGAGTGACCTTTTTTCAGCTCTAGGTTGGGACTTCGAATTGTCCTAAATGGTGCAAGTCAGGCGCCATTAAACCAGTTGATATTACCTGCTGGATCTCTACTTTATATATATCTATAGTTTTGCATGCCTTTATTTGGTTGAATATTATTTATCACTAAATGGATTTTCTTTCCTCTTTGGAGAAGGTATTATTTCTTCAGAAAAGAAAGTTTTCATTGCCAATTCTGTTGCTTTTATATTTTGTAGCTCAATTATTTCCAAATTCTTATTACCTTGCCTTGAATGGAGAAGTCCAATAAAGTACTGTATTCATATAGGATCATGGCAGTTTGTAAGCTTTCAAATTTGACCACCATCTTTTGAAGTAGTGCTTGGTTTTTGGTTCTTGAGAAAAAAATTCAGGTGATTGAGCTCCAATTTTTTAACTTTCATGGCAAAAGATCAAGGCAGTTGAAGATTGTAAAGTTCTTCCAAGATTTGCTCGAATGTAATCAAAAGGCAAGGATTTTAGGTTCTGATTTAGTATTCAAGGATCAAAATTGTTGACTCCAGAGTTACTTGGGAGGTTGGTTAAAGCCTAAAAGCTCTACAACATATTTTCATACAGAATTCATCTTTTCGGGATAGGTAGACATACCCAACTCTAAAAGCTCAAGGAGCATTACAGGTCTATTGTTGTCAGCAAAGAGATGAGAATATGTTTGTGCCCACTGTACCAGTGCTTAAGAAAGACTTATGTGAAAGCATAGCAGGAAGGACGAAAGGAAAATTATGTAGTAGAAAGCCTGTTTGAAAATGTCCCTTTTGTTTTTACTTGCTTCTCTGTGTTGAGACCAAAAGCTGGAAACATTGTTTTGTTGATTCTTTTCTTATGTGGTCGTGTACAACAACATTAACCCTATAGGCTTACTACTATACTTAGACTGCAGCAGCCTGTCTGTTTCTGTAGCAAATCCCAGTTGTTCTTTGCTGCTAGGATTGTTCCAGTGGTAGTAGTAACCTACCACTGGAACAGGTATGGAGAACAATTGAAAAAGACCATGATGATTGAAGATACAAACTGCAGTTTGATCGACACAATGTTCTTCAATCCTATTATGTATGTATAAAAAATAGAATTTCAAGCCATCAAAAGCATACAAAAAAATGTTCTGTCAAGCATCAATCTTATTCAGAAAGGGCAATGCAAGTTCATTGCACAGTAGGTTTCCAAAGTACTAGTTTCATGCAAATCTTGACAAGAACTTATTCAGAAATTTACATCGTTTAGTTGCATACGAAAGAGTTAAAAGGAGTATAGAGATGTAGTTCCCAAAGCTAAAAAGATTAAAAAGGTCCATGTCATATAAGGTTCAAATAACCATCAAGAGATCCCGGAGTAAAAAGTATTGAGTCTGTCAACACATGGCCGTACTAGTAGTCTTCAACAAATCTATAGCAACCTGGTTCCAAGACTTCCAGAACTCCTGCAAATTAATCAAGAAATTATGAAACGAAAAATCATTTGTAGTGCAACAAACTAACATCACGGTGTTACTGGAAGAAGTAAAAATAAGAATATATGTACTGTATGATCAACATCATAAACTTGCACAACATCTTAGCAAAACAAGATACATTTTTGGAAAAGACGTATTTCTTTCTTTATGAAAATTCCCCCACCCCTTTAAGAAAGAGCAAGTTTCAGCATGAATCTGTTACAATTTTGTGGGTAAAAGAGTAAGCTTTATGGAAGTAGACAACCATCATCATAAACTGTGCTGCTAAACAAAAGGTCCTCAACATAAGAAAAAACTGAGATAACAAGTGCAGAATTTGCATTAAAATTAAAATTAAAATTAAAATTAAATTAGAATATTTCAAGATAAAAGGTTCTGACATCAGAGACGCATATTTGATCAATGGAATAATTTTTGATGTCCCTCACTAACTTACCTCTACTAAATAAATGGGAATTCACGTCTTGGGGGATCGGAGGCCATGTTTCTAGTAATAAAGTGACCCTGAAAACAAGAATTTGCAAAAGAGACTTAGCTTCCACTGATGAGTACTTGCAACCATTGCAATATAATTACAACATGCATACCTTGCCACCAATTTCCTCTAGATGCACTGTATTGGTTGCTTCCACTAGAATCGTATTCTCCTCCTTCCTTCTTGTACTGAAATGTTTATAAGTATATCAAAAGGAGTTAGTATCATCACATTGCATATTTTAAATTATGAAGATGATTTTAAGAAAAAGAACTCACAGAAGGATATGATAGAGTTTTATGAGCATCGGATGACTTGATATACATGTCCTCTTGACCACCATATAAGAGAGAAGAACTTAGTGGACATGTTTCCCCTCTATCTTGAAAAAGTGATTCATGTTCCTTACTGGATCTGCAATGCCCTGCACCTTGTTTATTTTTCGTCACGTAAGCTGCTCAAGGATGTATGTTTTAGACACTATATCACATATCTCACAATAAAAGTAATGCTATCTCAGTGTGAATGCAGAATATACAAGCAAAAGCATCAAGTTACCACATGTTAGATAGAACCTACGATTGAAAGCAATTGTTCATGACTATAGAACTGATAAAAGAAACTGATTGTAGTGGTAGACCAACACACTGGTTTTCCAGTGTATAAAAGCTTATCATAATTACACAGAATCATACATCTTTCATCTATTACCTATCCATCACTCGTAGTACAAGTTACAGAGTTAAGGCTTTGTTTGGATTTATACCACAAGAAATACAGATCAAGTGTGACCAATTGATTTGAAGGGGAATGGAGGTGTCCCGAGAATCTCTTGTATGTTATAGGTTTATCTTATGTCGGTAGGATCAAGTACGTGAAGCACCGCAATGATTCTCCAAGAATCAGGTGTTAAGTTAGATTGGAGAATAACACATAAATTTAATGAGGTGAAACAAAGAGAGACCAATGAGAATGAGGAAAAGAGAGAGATCACAAGTGACAAGACACCTGTAGCTGATTTGTTCCATGCCCTACAACCAGATGACTGCTTCTCCAGAGATTGCATGAGTTCAGCTGCCGAAGCTTTCCTTCCCATAACCTACAGGAATATGGAAGATGAGATAGTACAATAGTTTTTTTTACTTTATTTTCGACAAGGAGAACACAAGCAGATCGATGCTACGCTATTTCAAACTATCACAATTAATTTCCTAGTTGACCACCAAAAATAATTTTTTCAGCTGAAACTTCTATATTGTTACAACTATCACAAAAAGAGTTGTTATGACTTGTGACAGAATCGTAGAAATTAAGAAACAGAGTTTCTGGTGTTTACATGAGTTAAAGGATTGTCAGATTTTGGTTAGGAATTCAAGTTGACTCTGCTTTACTTACCAAATCCTCCCAACAAAGAAAAGGTAAGAAACTTTTTACCTCTCCTCCATGGGAAGAGATCAATCCAATGCTATGAAATTGCAATCCCTCAACTACAAGAATATCGAAAGGGACATTCACATGAAAGAAAAAAAATGAATCCCTTCTTATCTTCTCTTGGGAAAGAGAAAACTTTGATTATAAATCTAAAATGATCGAAATTGCAACCCCTTAACTACAAGAGTACAAATTGAATTGATCACAAAATTTGCACCCACATCAACTATTCCACAAGGTACGTGCTATCTTCCACCAACGCAAGTACCAATTAACTCTGCCACAAGCACACACATCAACTATTCCACAAGGAGAAAGTAATGGCACAAATGGGAGTAGAAAACATAAGATCCCCATAAACCACCTCTAACATGCTACCTTAATGACTTGAGGATAAAGAAAGAGCATATAACACACCACTTCAACTGTTACCGATACCCACAACTAAAATCCTATTCGTCGACCACCAACAATCAAGTTTTCATTCACAGGTTAATACAATTCTATCACAGAAATTAGATAACAGAGTTTCTGGAGTTCACAGAAACTGATAGATTTGCCAAATACTGATTAGTGAAAACCCATATCTCTCCACTCCTTCATGTTCTTCATAAACTACTTCAATCAGAAAATTGCATCTTATTTCTACTTCTATTTTCAGTTAGACATATAACAAATTCCAAATTCCCAAATTCTTATTCCATTAAATTATTCAATTATAAACTTTAGTATTGAGTCAAATCATATATACTACTCTAATGTCGTTCGTTCATATAATGAATAAGTACCTTAGATGGTGGTGGGAAAATTGAAGAGAAAATACCGGTGGAAGCAGAAACATCAGCAGAACCCACTTGCTTCTTCTTACTACTTTTTTCCATTGAAGAGAAAGGTAAAGTACCAAACAAAGATTTTTTCTCTATATAAAATAATTGAAAATGCAGATTTTTGTACAGTAGAGAATAAGTATATAAGAATTTTGGGGAAAAAAGAACAACTGAATAGTGAAATCTTGAAAACTCTACATAATTGCGAAGCATAAATGTCTTACGTTACTACTATATCAAAAATAGAATTTCATTTTATTTACTATATCTTAAAATTATTATCTCTTATTTATTTATTTTATATATCCTCAAATTCAACAATACATTAATATTAAATAATAACAGAAAGTAGTAAAAAGTCGAATTAAAAGTTCTAAAATATGGCTAATAAGGTCAGTTTAGGAATGTATCATATCAATAGGGAAAAATTAATATAAAAGGGAGGGAGTATTGAGTTTTAACTTTGACTTCAAATTTAAATATTATTTTTTTAATATCAATAAAATATTATCCAAATATTCTTTTCTTAGTTGATTAATGTAAGTTTCTCTTTCATGCCTTCTTTTTCCGATTCTAAAATATCCGAATCTTGAATTATTTTTGGTATCATGTAACTTTATTTTATAAAAATCAATTTGTGGAGGATCACACATTTTGTAGAAAACAATTTTGCAAAACCACAACAATCACTATTATGGACCCCTGCCCTATAATACAAAGTAATTTGATTATCGAACCACATCTTAGTTTAGGGGCCAATTCAGCACCAAACATTATAGGAGTGGACTATATTGATATTCGCCTATAAATTTGTGAAAGACGCAATTATAACTAATACACTTTATTGAACATTATTTTTATACATTCTATCAAACGACCTTCATTTTTTAAGTTTTCTACCTGAACCAGCAGGTATATATGTGAGTTTTCTATATGAACTATCATAAAATATTTGTCGAAATACACTTGAATCATCACTATCTGAATTTCATATAGGAAAATTCAACAAACGGATAGTTAAGCTATCCCATACACATTAATTATCTAACTTGCAGAATAAGCCAATCACCAAAAAGAATAATATGAGGAATAAGTTTGTAACACAAACATTGTTTAGGAAAAAATAACTATAATGCCATATGTATAATTCAGTATAAATTAAACACCCACCTTATCTGACTATAGATTGCATTGAAAGAATTAAATAGATTTTTCTACACTTCAAGATTTGATTCCCATCCTTTTCTCATCTCTTACACACACATAGATTTTATATTTATATATATAATATATGGCTAGCTCTCTTGTCTTGCAAGAGTCAATTTTCATAATATTTTTTGTACACAAGAGAATAGGAAATTTGGCCATATGATTAATGATGACCCCTACCCATGAAAAAGGTTTAAATATATATGTGGCTTTCCTCATTAGTGCCATATATATTTTAATTTAATTATTAAAAGCTAGTGTATTTGAGGCAATTGACAACGTTAAAAGGCTTATCTATAAGTCGATAAAAAAAAAACAAAGACATGTAAGAGATAAATCACAAGTAATAGTCCTTTTCTTTCTTTCTTAGTGCTGACCCCATTTTCTCTTTCAAGTTTTCAATTTAAATATAATATTAAATTATGTCATTTTTATCTATTTGTCAAGTTGGATTCAGAATTCTCTCAAATGGCACTATCACTCATCGAATCAACACAAACTAACAAAAAGTCCTCCTCCACCCCATCCACACCTTCAAAGATATCTCAAAAAATCCATCCCAACATATAAAATAAATTATCGAATCTAAAATTTAAATTTTATGTGTTAAAATTCGTAATAGTACCACAATTAATTTGAACTTGATTCACAATCATTTGAACATTTTTAAAAATAAATAAACAAAGTTTGAGTTCAAATGATCACCTCAAATCATCTATTTCATACGTTCTACCGCAACAACAGATCATTTACAGAAAAATAGCTATATTTGATGTTGATTAGCCTTTCATCTCTAGCCACAATTAGTCATCCACATACTCACACATGGATTTAATCCTCCAAAGTCAGATTGGACCGTTAAAACTCTCTTCAACCTGCTCATGACTGAATTGGGATACTTTGTTTCAATACACTATTCAATCCCCTGTCCAGATACGCTAGCTAATACAATAACAAGTCTCATGATATAATCATCTAAATAAAATTGAAATGTAAATTGTTATGTAAACTATCGCTATCTACTATCTAGCTAGAATCTGATAAAGTGGTATAATTTTTCTTACGCTTTTTATCCCTACTTTACTTGATGGAACAATTATAAAATAGTAGTATTGAAATAAAGTATAAAATGAACATAAAAAAAAAAAAAAACGTGGACGGCAGGATTCGAACCTGCGCGGGCAGAGCCCACATGATTTCTAGTCATGCCCGATAACCACTCCGGCACGTCCACTTCTTGTTATTTAATGCCGCAGTTACAATAGGTATAAATATATTACAGTAAGGTCAATTCAAACATACAACAGAAGAAAAAGAAATGTATAATGTAAGAATGTGAACTAGTGATTTCTTTACAGTTGCCCAAGCCTTGATGAGCATGAAACATCCTAGTAGAAGATAGCAAGTATGTCATAACATTAAACAAAATGCGTATAAATTGACTTAACACGAATCCATAGATTTATTTTCTTCAAGGTTGTGTGTGCCCACACACCAAGTTATTATTCCACTTATTGAACGTCCTCTACAATTCGAGGATCATAATCCCCACATCAGGTTTACTTGAAGACAACGATCTTAAATAAGGTTGTTTAACTCATAAAGCATTTACTAAGGTAAAGTTGTTTTCACGTTACTTACAGATTACAAATTTTAACCGTGAAAATAACCACTGATGCTTGCACCCCTTCCCCTTCTTCTTTTTTCCCGCGTTAGAGTAAGCAATTAAAGTTTGAGATTGGAGGGATTATAGGTGTGTGTGATCACAAGCATCAATTGTCAATAAAACGAATTAGCCAGTAAAAACATATGCATTAGTTTGAACCATGAAATGCATAAAAGAAAGATCAAAGAAATCCCCATGTAATACCAGATGGAATTCACTAGCAATCTTCTCTCATAGTGCTCAATCAATAAGGACTCGATTACGAGTAGTATAAGAAAGGTTTAAAAGAGGATCTCAAGTAGCCCTTCAAGCATCTAAACACGTCGAGTATAGAGTACCTTAAAAATTCAAGTACCACATGACACATGAACATTCATCCACACGGGGATAAATTCTGCTGTTAAAATGGGTTAACCATGGAACAGATAGAACTGAGCCCCAAAATGTCTAATACTATTACATTCTCCAGCAGAGGGAGACAACATATGTACCAAAAGTTACAGTGCCAACTTCAGAAACAACTAAAAATATCCACATCCTATCAGCTCCAATGGCAATTCAATGCTTTTTCCAAACTTCTATACCTTAGGGCCCCAAAGTAATATTGTTCCTGGGAAATGTTCACTCAGTTAGGAACAAACTAGGGAGGTATATCAAGAAATGAAACACAAAACAGTTATAAATGGCAACAGAAAAGATTCAATAGCACAAAAGATTATGAAGATGATAGATCAGATATGTGAATATTTGGCTCGTAAAGTATTACCAAGAAAGAATAAGGAAACACTGTACAATCAGGAATTTTACCCCGAGGACAAGAAGTAATACCTCAGGTGTGCAAGTAATTGGCAGCCATCATCAATTCCAAAGTGATCTCAGGCTCAATATGGAATTCTGTTTCCTTGCCACTGCAGAGGAAAAAAAATCCATATAAGTACAACCAAACAAAATCAACAGCATATAAGACAGGGAAGGAGTTGCTTCATAAGATCAAAAGGACAGGAATATCAATACCCAATAATAGTTCATGTTTGGGGTTCCAGATTGTGATCCACAACAAAAAGGGGAACACTAAGATCTATTAGCAGCTAGCTCACTAACTCATAGAGATGTTACATCAGAACAAAAAAGCAGCAAGATACTGGAAAAAACTGTGTTACTTGAGCATGCACCACTATCTGTGAGAATATCTCTAATTTACAACAAATTATCATACCATGTGGACCAAAACAAATGCTTGCCCCCAAACACTGTAGATGAAGCAAAATTCAATTCAGTAAAGCATCATCTTAGATTAAGTGTTGAAGTGGTAACCGTCTTATGTAAAAAATCCAATGCTCTCCTCCTCAGTGCTACAAGGAAGCAGGTAGTTGTACCACAATAGATTGTAACACCAAAAAGTTCCCAAAATTGTAAATTTTCAGTAAGAAAAATATCATAATAAGAAGTGGAAGAGGACATAACTCTCAGAATTCACACTGTTCTTTTGGTTGAACCTGCAGGGCTATTTGTTCATTTCGAGCCTATTTGGTAAAAAGGAAGTCGTAGTGGTTGACAGTCTCTTGAATTTGCATTGTTGTTTTGGTAATATACTGCAACCCTAATCATTCATTTCTTTGAGTTTGGTTGTAGAATGCTACCCTACTTATTATTCATTTCTGAGACTACTTGCTGAAAATTGAAGACAAGTGGTGAAAGGCCTGTTGAGTTTGCATTGCTACATTGGTTCTAGACTGCAACCCTACTCATTCATTTCTTTGAGCCTACTTAATAAAATCTGAGACCCTCCTTGATGAAGTTGCATAATCCTGCATACTTCCCAAATTTCCATGATATATAAACCTAGAAGCGACTTATGCCCTCATTTCACCCAGTGAGAAATTTCAAGACTACATTTCAGCAACTTAGGATTTCTAACCTAACTATTTTAAAGCCAAATGCAAGCAAAACTTAGGACCACCATTTAGGACCAAAAAGAAACTACAATCTAGTTTACCACATGTTGGACCTAGCAAGGACAAAAATATATATCATGATATATGAAGCCAACCTCAAAGGTGCTTCACATAGATCAATACAAGTGCATGAGCATGCCCTAGTTTACAGCTAGTTCATATAACCATGAGGAGTTCTCAGATCTAAGACTATGTATGCTATCGAAAATATTGAACATCAAAAACACAATAATGCAAATGCTCCTCTTAGGGCTCACAAACTACTAAACCAGAATCATCTGAAAAGCCTAAAACATGGATACACCATACCTATATAATGGTTTTTATT